CCTTTTATGAATATTTGTATATTTTGACGGTTACCTACTTTAAGGTCAGCGATATCAATAAAAATATTGTCTAATGTATTGTCTAATGTATGATCACATATTTCTAACTTACATTCTGTACTCAAGAATTAAACATTTAAATAAAATTTAAAATTTAAAAATTAACTTCTCATGAATTATTTTACATAACTAGCATGGTCTCTCCCAACACGTTTAAGGTCTTTTAGTCTAGTTTTTAGGACAGGTATGTTATCCCAGAAATGACTGATGAAAATGTTTTGTTTTGTTAGGTATTGCACCCAGTTATTAATTATTTAAGATTTTAGGTGACAGGGTTCCCGGCTTATAAGTTACAACCCTTATAAGGGTTGCTGAACCAGGTAGTATAATTGATAGTCGTGTGAGCAATGTATCATAACTGTGATGCAACTGTAGATATAAGTTGCATATTGAATATTATACGGGTTTGTAGTGCCATTGGATTGTGTATTCATTTCCAGTGAATTGCTGTATAATTGATATATTTTGTAATATTTCAATAATTTCATATACAGTACAGTAATATAAATGCAATATTACAACAGTCAATGTGCACATTCATATCACTTATACTTTAATACTATACAAGTGGAACATAGTAAGCAAGGTAGTTTCATACAAACTTGTGTTAACAGTCTAACAGCGCTATCAGTACATCAGTGAAAATGTATGACTGTGATTGCACATGTATGCTAAGCACACACATGTTAGAATGTGTTAGGAGGGGAACGGTATGTGTTTATATTTAGTTACAGGCGCTCTTCCTTTTATACCAAAAAGCACAACACATTTGTGGCACAAATCAACACTTTGTATGTCTGTATGTCTTCACATCTGCCACCGAAATGTCATTCAAATTGTGACTCATATTTGGCATCAATTTTAACATCAGTTCACAAATGAGTCATTCATTGAAATCCAATTCATTAGTAATACTCACAAAGTCTTCAAAGTCTTCACATTTTGTTTGTTTTTGGTGTCAATAATGGGTTCACAAAGCGATACCTGTTTTACGCGACTCTTCCTCAAGAAGTATCCATTGGTTAGCGACGAGACAATCGACGCTCTCATCACTAATGGCTATTCAGACAAAGAGTTTCTACTCCTTCTGGACGTCAACACAGATCTGCCA